TAATAATTAGTAATTAAAAATAGTTGAAATAGTAGTAGTTAGTAATTAAAAATGGCAGCAATGATAGTAATAATAATAATACTTGAAATAGTAGTAATAATAGTAATAATAGTAGAAATTCGACAGTTAGTAACAATTGGTAAAAATTAGAAAGTAATTAGAAAGTAGCAATGGTGATGAGTGAACAAGATTAGATACTAAATGGTAGTGGCGATGAGTGAACAAATATTCTATATGTTCAGATATATTGTTACAATTATTAGACGTGCGAGGATCACCTGAGGAAGTAGGAGACGATCTTCTTGTAAAGCATGTAGAAGGCTGGGTCTCTCATGCTGGTGGAATAACTCTGAAGGACGCTGGGTATCACTTTGTTCTTGTTCTGGAAGTCGAAGTTGAAGCCAAGGATGTCGCGAGCGAGAGCGTCGTACATCCCGTAGAATCTGCTGTTGCAGGAGTCGGCGTTTCCTTCTATCACGTTGCCGAGCATGTTCAGGCCCTCCGGTGTGTAGAGGTCGATCTTCTTTCCGGTCTCGTCCAACAGGTAGCCAGAGTCGATGGCGTTCATTATACGGAACTCCAGCGCGTTGATTTCCTGAAAAGTTTGAACTTACTTCGTTAGAACTTCATCGTTACATCGTTATAATACAGGTTATGATATTGTTACTTTGCTGAAACATATAATAATTTTATTTAATTTAATATAGCAATTATATTAAATATAATTATATTTAATATATCATGCAGGTTATGATACTTCGCTGAAATATTTTGCTTCTACACTCTCTCTTCTTGATCAATATATCGGTATTCTTATGATTAATATTCTTGACTAATTGATATATATATTATATATGTATTATATTATAATATATATAATATAGTATAGTATATACTATAATATATATAGTACTATAATATATAATATATATAGTATATATAATATAGTATATACTGTATATATAATATATAATATAATATAGTCTATACTGTATATATAATATATAATATAATATAGCATATACTATACTGTATACATATATATATAGATCAGTATTTCATCAATAATAATAATTTGTCGAACACACTCACCTTAAGATATTTGTATTTGTAGTAAGGTATCGCCGAGAATCTGTCTCTCTGTGGGAAGTGTACGCCATTGGGGTACGTCATCGTCGAGTAGTAGCCGGGATAGATCGGCTTGTTCCAGTCGAAGTCCTCGATTTTACCAAGGCCGTTCGACATTCGTTCGAGGAAGTACCTAGCCAGTAATTGCTGGTGGAAGAAGTAGTACAACTGTCCACGTATCTCCTTGGGCATGTTGTATTTGCTGCTCGACATCCAGAAGGGGAACATGTGTCGGATGTAGTAATAGTACGCGTTCATCCCGACGTCTTCTATGAAATAGTCTAGTTTGTAATCCTCGTCCATGTACGACGTCATGTATTTACTCGAGTAATTCGCCATCACCAAGTACGTCTCGATGTTGTTCATGCCGGCTGCGGCGCCAGATCCTTGGGAAAAGATGAAGAAGAAAAACATTTTATCGTAAAATTTTCTCTTGGGAAGAAGAGGATTTTGTTGCAGCAGAGCTGAAAGATCGGACACTGTCCGAAAGCTAGATCTTCTTGAGGATTATTCCAGGAGGAAAAAGTATCTGCTTTCGTCAATTATTAGTGATAGATGAATGCATCGTTGTGAAAAGAGATCTCAGTGTATTATGATTTCAGAATTCATCGAGCAAATTAATGAAAAAAGCTCAGAAATGGATAAAGAAGAATAACTACCTCGAGACATCTTCAAGTTCTGTGCCTCTTGTATCACGCCCGAGTCGAAGAAATAGTTAGGGTAGATTTCATAGATTGCCGGCAGTCTCATGTATCTGCAGTCGTCTCTGTAGAGCACGGCGACGGTAAACGCGGAAGTGAACATGCCGTTGTTCATGCGAAGTCGGGCCCAGCTAGCCGTTTTGTAGAACGTTTGGAAGTCCTTCGCGTTGTAGAACAGCTCGAAAAGTATTTTCATCTCGTATTTCTGCTCGGTGTTGAACGGCGTGAAGATGGCATCTTGGGCAAGGAACATCCCTTGCTTCCACCACCAGATGAACTTTTGCACGACATTCTGAAATTCAGATGGTTGAAACGAACATAGTATCAGAAATGACTGTAGCTTCAGTTACTTTGTGTTGGTGTATTCTCATTTATTTTTCTTCTGGCAATTTTATCAAGTGCAGATTCTCACGAGTTGAAACTACTAAAAGAAAGAAAGAAAGAAAGAAAGAAAGGAAGGAAGTTGAAAATTGATTTAAAAATTTCTTTCCGGATACTTCTCCGTTCACATATCTCGTCGGCGAATTTCCCCATTTTATTAAATCGCTCGATAAATCTCTCACTCACGTGGAGTTGAACTGAATCAAAAGAAAGTTTAAATTTCCCGCGAAATTGGAGAATCACCTTGTCCCTGTACATGTCGATGTTACTCTCCACGTTGTAGTTTCTCCCTATATCGTACCACTCAGCATCGCTCAGATCTGTCTGTTTCACGTAGAGCAACAGGTCGAAGATCTTCTTCTGCTTGTGGAGGAAGTCCATGTCGGCGGTGCGAGTTCCGGCGAGCGATGCGCCATAGACTGCGCAAATAGCGGCCAACAACGCTGTCAACAACGTCAGCTTCAGCATTCTCTGGATGTTGCGATGGAAATTCGTTCACCTTCGATACAGTTGCACCGGTTGTGTACCGGTCGACGGTCCACCATCGTGCTTTTATACTTATTCGGAATAGAATAATCACGGGGAACCTCTGACCCACATCGTGTGTACAAGGAGATACCATGTGTCATCAATACACCCCTGTGTATTTCAATGATTTATTATTATTGAGCATCTGTGTCGAGAAACGACGATATCGATCCCTCTTTCTTGGTTTATTCTTTTTTCTTTTTTGGTATTTCGAAAATTCAGTTTCAGCAGATACACATTGCGTTATGAAATGTTTTGGCAACTTTCATTGGCACTATTATTTTTCTTTGAATTTGGTTGAATTTCTATGTGTAGAAGAATGTAGATAGTCTAGGCATAATTAAGCAGAGAGCATCATTAGGTAAACTAACTTCACCTGACACTCCCAAGTTTAATTCCAAAGTTGGTCTTCCAACGCTTTGGATGATTTTGACACTGAGAATTGGCAGAGTAGTCGAAAGTCAACCAATTTGTAATTTTATGTACTTGTGCTATTTATTACACTATTATTTTTGTGGTACATCTTTGTCGACAATTCTGTTATTACAAAAGAGGGGTACCTCTTTTTCTTTTCCAGTGTGCAATTGTCAGACGACATTAGTCGCTTCTCCTATATTTATACGTCCAATAATTATATCAATTAATTTAAATATTCATGTAAATCCAAAGTTAGAACTAAACACCACTAATCATCATTATCGTTATTGCTATACTTATATTAATGCAAGAAAGTTAAACAGAATAATCTGTAGAAATCTTTGGAAACTATTTAGAAAACTTGCATTTTTGCACCTTTGAAAGAAAGATTTAGAAAATTGATGCAACAAATTCTATATGACATTTCATACGTGTGTTGCAATCTAACGTAGTACTATAAACTATATTAGTATATTAGTATATTAGTATATTAGTATATTAGTATATTAGTATATTATAAATTTTTATCGTGGCAAGTTATGAAATTGTTGATTTAATTATCAACTTGGAATAAAAATATTTCCATCGTTTATCAATGCAGCAGATAAAAACATACGAAATTTTCCCTTGAATCAAGAATGGTCAAAACATTGATCTTATGTATTTATCGATGAAATAATAATAACAAAGTTATATACCTATGTGTATCAGCTAATTAATTAATTAAATATCTTTTTATTTCAACCAGAGTACGAAAGAATAACAGAAGGGTAATGAATAATATGAAATACGAATAATATTGTTGTAACTAGTCTTGTGGAAAAATATTCTCATTTTATCTTTTTACCCTTCTACCATTCATTACATGTACAATCTCATTTTGTCATTCAAAATATTATTCATAAATATTTGACTTCTGATTAATGTTATTTCAACATTTTTTAATCTTAATATTCAAACAATCTTTTTTTATATTAATTGTATTGTTCAGACAGCATGCTACACAGTTATATAAGAACTTATATGTCATTTTTATCTTTTATCTTCTTTTTTTAAAATCGTTTTTAAAGTTGTATTTTTCAAGAAATTATCGTTCGAACAAGTACCTTTCTTTATTTATATTCCATGTTTTATTCCATCTTACTTATTTTCTGATTATTCTCTGTTAGAAGAATCATTTCCATCTTCATTATTATGGTTATCATATTAATTGACAAACATTCAAAAATAGCATGGTTAATTCTATTTCGTTTACAAAAGAAATCATATAGTTGAAAACAATTATTATTCTTTTTTCTATTTTTAACATTCTGCTTTGCTGAGAAATCTGTTTCATTGACTTTAGTGTTTTTCCATGTATCTGTCATTTCACCATCTTCGTGTTTTGCCATATTGTACAATTTAAATGTTAAATGTTATTTACTAATCCGTTGACCCGTGAATTATATATTCTGTGATATTGAATATTACCCAGATAAAAGTCTGAGAGGAACGTGAAAAGCGAGAAAAAAAAGGATGCCAATCTTTTTAATTATTTTTTAAATTCCATGTATAAAAATCTGCAATTTAATTCAGCCTGCACGATATTGAAAGAATAATATAAACAAAGTTATTGTAAATGTTATAAAGCAGCATATAAATATGTAGTAAAGTTATTGTTATTTAAAATGTTGAATTCAGTTTGTTTCTGGCATTTTTAAGTTTTATCTGTTTCTTGTAACTGAATTCAGTTTGTTTATGGCATTTTTAAGTTTTATCCGTTTCTTTTTGAATCATTTCAAACACACTTCTTAAAAGATCAAAAGTAATAAGATTTATTTGAACATGTTAATTTTGAAAAGTAAGTGAAAATCAGAAGTAAAACAATTAATATAGAATGTATATATTATATTTATTATCATTACTATTGTAGATTTTTACATTTCTTGATTAAGTAGCGTTTCAAAACTGACTTATCTTTCAAATAAGAATATAAAAGTATATAATTATTTGAAAAAATGTATCTTCCACTTTCGGAGAAAGATATAATTCTAGCATCCTCTGAGTTTGCTAGTTTAATGACAATACTTAAAATGCTCCTTAAAAAGTTGGGAAATGATATAAAATGCCACGCAGATCATCTTGGAGAAACAAATAATACAATGTTTGAAACACATGGAGTTTTTGAAAAAAACTTGAAATCATGGATGAGCAAGTTACAAACTCATTTACAAGAATTCGAGTTTTATGGTAGAGTGAGTTCTAACATTCTGTTCACAAAAATAATATATTATTACAAGTTATATAAAATGCAATATCACAGGAAAGACTAATTCAAAATGTTACAACGATAGCTCAAAAAATTTTTTCCTGATTTACTTTTTAAAATCAATTAATATTGCATATATACTTTTAATAGGCTATCACACTCAGAACATTCTTGAATTCTAGCAATTATCTATGTATTTTGCGATCATCGGTAATTAAAGATCGTGAACAACGTAGTAAAATATCAGTGTGCAATGTCACATTTCCAGAGTACGAAGACAATAAGTTATCCACCAACTTGTATAAAATGAATAAGTCTAAAAGAAGATGTAGAGGTAAAAATTTAGCTAAAGATTCTGTTTGTAGGATGAAAACAATAAAATATATACAAGATATTAACTAATTGAAAAAACGTACAGAGCGTACATTAAAAAATATCACTGACTCAATAAATATAAACATTGAATATAAATATGAATTATTTCTTTTCATATCTTTTGTACGCTTATAAATAACATGTATTTATAAATAATAAAGAAATAAAGTTACGTTTTAATAAAACTGTACTGCACAAAATTATAGTATTACAGTGAAGTATTTAACAGTACTTGGAGTACGATAGAATGATGAGAGTTACTGATAAAAACGCAAAAAATACAAAATTTTATGTACCTTAATAAATGAAGGGATAAAATATTATAAACAGATATTCTCCTAGCTTATGAATTGTACAGAAGGTGGATCAAAAATAACACCAAGGTATCGTTTTGAATTTTTTGATTTATTTGTATATCGAAGTACTATTCCATACAATTGTACGTTACTTCGTGGTCTGATTTTTTGGAATGTGACAAAATCACATCGCACGCTTTGCCGAGAATTATCAAACTGTTTAATATCTTGAATGTTACTAAGATAAAATAGGCTAGAAGCAACAAAATTATGTTAGCTGGTTGGACAGGTGGTGTAATGGTTGTACAAAGTACTCTTCCTATCGCCACTCCTAGAGGAAGAGGAATAAAACCCATTCTACGAGCTACCACATCCGATGGGTCGGAAAAGGCAGTTTCCTGGCGAGTCTGAGCCATGTCGTAGGCTACTTTAATAGTATAATCTCTGTATACCGTTGAATGGAGCTCGTTGAAACGAGTTATAAAGGCATGCTTAAGCTGGAAAGAAAGTGAATCAATAAAAATAAAGTGATATCGAAGGAAATATTCAAATACTAAAGAAACTGATGTTTTCTAAAACAATTTTATAGCGATACCAATACTTACCCAATCTACAAGGATTTCAGCAAAGAGCAACAGTATACAATCTGGTAGAAGTACTGCAAGTCGTTCAGCTTTCCATGCATATTCCTTCATTGTTTGAAGATTTACAGCAAGAAGCAGCATCATTAAATGAAAACGTTCTCTCACGTCTGCACAAGACAGTTGAAAGAGATTGTTCTTGTCAAATTTCTTAAAGACAGAACCTTTTAATTCTACAAACTGAAAATAGAAGTTCATGCAATAGTATTATTATTATCTATTGTACAACATGTTTTTCCAGATCTTTTTTAATATTTTTGTACAAAGGAATTATAGAATTTAATACTTTAAATACTTCAAATATTTAGGGTATTTAAATCTTCATATTAATTATTAATACTGCTTCTTTGACACCTATCAAAGATAACTTATTAACTTATTAACATAAATAAAAAGACTTACATTATTAGACATCATTATAGTCAGCAAAGCCTTGTTGCTACTGTTTATTGCAACGTTCAAAGTTGTTGCTTGAAAAAGCACCAATATACTATGTAATACTATGGAAATGAATGTTGCATAGGAAAATATTAAAATTCTTTATACGTCAATGTAAGATAATCTTTCGATATTATTAATCGAAGTATTTTCAATCTAATAATATTCTAAAGTTACTAAACGTTAAAAAACCAGAATTTATAGAATTCTCTCATACCATTTACATGTACAAAGGATACAAACATATGTAAAGGCAAATAATAGATGAGGGAGGATGCCCAATTGTTGAGATCTTGCTTGTGACTTTGATTTAGGCTCTGTAGCTGTCCAAAAAAGAGCGTCTATTATATCTTGTCCAAAGACGCTGCATAATCTATCACCAACTTCCAGCATATTATAAAATATATACAATTTTATCACAGATTGACTCTTGACCAAGTGGTATATCATAGAGGTATCAACTTTCCATGTAGCTGCCCAACAGGTGATGACCACAATTCCCTTTAAAAGGTCGCACATCTGTGCCGGTCTTAGATATCGTTCTCCAACTTTTAAATCCCTCTTCTTTCTAGATCATAAATTCATTTCATAAAAACATAAAGTATGCATAATAAAATTTCAGTCTGACATAAAAGAACATTTGTGAATATTTATGATGATTATTATAATGGTTTTTATCTCTTGTATAATTCATTCAATTAATGCAAAATATTACCTAGTAATTGATTTAGGCTATATGAGCCTCTCAAAAGCCAAACTGATCAACTCTACTGTTTATGAATCTCTCCATCTCACCAAAATAAATTATTATTAAATTATTGAAAAGTGATTGTTCGTTTTCGTTTTTTTAAATTTATGGAGTTGATTAAAATGTCTTTTGAACGGTTCATATTTCTATTCCAAATGATATTGGAAAAAAAATCATCAGACGAAAATTTTGCACTACTTAACGAGCTCTATTATTCTATGGCATGAGTTTTTCCATTTATTATTTATTAATGCACTTACAAAGTGTAATTAACATAAGTATTCATTTAAAAATAATGCTGGGCATCAAGGATAATTGTGAATAATTTCTTCAATTTGTTTAGCGAAGCACGCCTTACCTGAAACTCGCGTACAGGGTGCACCGACTCTTTAACAGCTCATTGCGACGTTAATTTTAAAGATACCAGCCTAAAAAAGGGCTTATTTTGTAACATTTAGGAATATGGTCATACTTTTTTTTAGATTTAAAAACATCCATCCTTTAATGTGAAACTTTCAAAACAAGACTTTGTAATTTTTCAATATAAAAAATATTATTATCATATAATAAATTTTTTAGACTAAGATAAAAAAAAATAACTTTATTCGATAAAGAATTTTGAAAATAAAAATTCTTAGGTATAATACGTTTTCTGCAGAGTAGACAAAATTTCTAAAATTTCAAAAGTGACAAAATAATGATTTAAATCTTCCTAATTTCATACTTGTATTATATTTTATTTAAAAGAAGGTCATACTATCAATGTGGAGAAGTGATCAATTTGGCATGAAATAATCCATAATTATATTATCATATTGCAGCAATTTATAGCAAATATATTATTTTCAGAATATTATAATTTTTTATGATACACACAAATTACAAAATTAACGATAATGCAACATTAACATGTGTGATTTATATGTTATATGAACATATTCAAGGCTACAATCAGAATTCATCATATTTCAATTTCATAAGATTTTATTTCTCTGATACATGTTGATATCAATATTTTCTCAAAATGTAAATGCGACAGTGTTGCATTTAAATATTCTATTTATATGTATCTGATGTTGTCAACCTTGAATATGTCAACTAACTCAAATATACTTACCCAAGACAGTGCCATAGGGGTCTTGTAATTACTGTCCAAAGTGCCATCATAAATCTTAACGGTAAAAATGTATAAACAAATAGAAAAGAATCTGCACACTACAACAGAAAAATTTTCTATTATGAAGTGATCTTACATTGCAAACGAAATATTTAACATACGTACTTGTAAAAACCCATAGGCCATAAATTTTTCAACTTCCTTTGGAATTTTCAAAAACGAATAAAGTTTCTCTCTTCTTGCAGAGAAACTTTCCTCGTCATTTTCTAATTGATAGCCTCTTGTTAATTCTGCCCTTAGAAATTGTGCAAGCGATACAGCTGTAATGATTATGAAAAAAAAAAATTAGATTTATTGCAAATCAAATACTACTCAAGATAGGAAATACTTGTGATGTAAACAGAATAATTTATATTACGCTGTGAAAAAGAGAAGATCATTTCTTATAATGAATCTTTATAACCCCTAAATAGATCATAATTTTACATTACAATTTTACGGACAATGTATCTTTTCTTTTAATTAAAACAAAATAACTGCTGTCAATTTACTAAAAAAATTAATAGTTTAATACAAATTTAATGTGAATAATTATCGAGATAAAAGTCTGTTATGTTATGTAAACATCTGCCAAACAATAAATACATGTGTCTGTTACGTTATAAATATAATAAATTTGGAATGATACAAATACAAATGATACAAATATTCATATTAAACATTTTTTATTTCTCTTGATAAATATTATCAGCTCTGGAAGTTCTACATTATTTTCTTTAACGTCTTGTATATTATTGCAATAAGCTTACAACTTCATGTCAGTGAACAAATAACTTGTGAAACAAATGACAGTTCAAATGAAGTTACCTTGTCTTCCTTGCTGATATTTCCCAGCGTTTAACTGAGCTTTCACATCTTGAATTTTACTAATATGACTGTCCAACTGTTTCGAAGCTTTAGTTTTTGCGTACTTCTTGTCACCGTAATTCAGCCAATTTTCGTTGATATTCATTTTAGTAATTCTTTACCTTGTTGCTTTATAACCTCAAAATTTCTCGTCTCGCGAGTATTGTTTTCAACGTTAAATTGAATCGTTCCCTATTAAAACATTCCTAATTGTTTAAATGACTTCATTCATTTCTAGAAGCGGAGTCATTGATTATGTAAACGTGAAAATTACGACTATTTTTTTACAACATTATACAAATTACGATCGTGCTATGTCCACGACAAGCTAAGAAAGTTCAACATACATACGAACGCGTATACCGTCTGTGTATATGCAAAGTATTTTGCTCAAGGCCTAAGTATCCATACGATACGTAACGTTTACGTTGAATTTCTTTATACTTTGATATTCCTTAACTTTATCAATAAACGTTTCTTTTTATTTCGCCACTTCGTATCGTTCTCGTATCTTACAATCATTGTACACTGTTATGATTTGATACGTTACATAATAAGGATAGAAATTACTGTAATTACTCAATGCAACAGAGTTTACTTATAGATGTAGCTAAATTTAATTATCAGTTCAAGACGTAATAAAAGTTAATAATCTCCTTTTCACGTCTGATTTTTTTTCTTTTTTTACAGTGTAGATATTGAAGTACTGCTAGCTTGCTGATAGATGGCAACCATATCTAAAATTGTGTAGCGACATCTGTTGCTATTCAATTGTCTTATCAAAAGTTACCACGGAGATGCCAACAAATTATTGGTTACCAAGTTACAAACAAATTGCCAAGAATATATATAACAGTTGTTAAGAAATTAATAAACAGTCGTCATTCATCCATTATATTCTGTATTATGTAAACGTTAAAATAAAGTATAAAATTTCCTTTGTAATACGGTGACTTATTATTTATCAATCATTGTATCTACAATTGTACACATCCTTTTAATTAATATTAATGAAAATTAATGTGAAAACACATAATAAATATTTATTTAATTTTTATTTATAATGATATGTTTTGCCGAGGATTTATGCTTTTCCGATAGCTTTCAAATTGAAATTCTGATATATTTAATGTATTTGTTTCTTTCTCTATTTTCTTTTTTTCGATGTAGCTACTGTTCCACTTGGTTAAAAAGCGCGCGCTGTTACAATTGGACACTACGTTAATCGTGCATAATTAATTAATTTTACAAAGCGTTGGTATATTCATATTTTGCAGAGACAAATTTCTCAAAGTGAAAATATCAATTTAATTCCTTCGGAAGTTCAGAACTTTCAGGTTATAATTTGATTAAATTCGACTTTCCAACTTGATCGAGAAGAGTTTCACTTATTCTGCGTGGTTTACATACTTCGCTCGTGCCTTATTTGTAATTTTATAAAAAAATTGATTATCATTAAAAACTTGACAAAATCTATAGATTCGAAGAAAACATTGAGTCTCAGTTCTTACTATTCCATCTATGTTGACAGTTAGTACGACGATTCCGAAGAGTTAACAAGACAATTTTGTGGTAATACAACGGAAATTATTTCGAAGCTAACTAAATTATTGAACAAATAAAAATCTGGAACGAAGATTTAAAATTAAGATATGCTTGTTCGACTTAAAATTCAGCCAATGTTCAAAATGTGAAGTCACAGGTACTTTGATAGAATTGTTTCGTTTAACAGAGAAAAAAGGATCAGAAAAGGAAGTTGTTTATTTTTTGTTTCACATTAAATAACCGATATTTGTCGCAGAAACAGTGATTTTAACTTGAACTTGGATAAGAACCACCGCGATATTCGATACAACTACTCGCGATCGATCTTATTGGAATTGATAACATTGGGATGTGAAATATATATTTGCGTCAGTTTTACGCGGGATGCGCAACAATATGGCGGGTCTAAAACAAAATCCAAAACAAAGATTCAAAATTAAGATACTCTTATTCGACAAAGACCGACGTAGTATTCAATGTGTGAAATCACTGACATTTGGTTAGATTAGATTGCTTTATTTAATAGGCGAAAAGGATCAGGAAAGAAAGTTGTTTGTTCTTTTTGTTCCAAATTAGATAACCTATATTCGCACAAAAGCGCGGACAGTGATTTTAACTTGGACACAAGTCACCACGATATTCGATATAATTTCTCATGATCGATCTTGTTGGAATCGATAACATTGGGATGTGAAATACACATTTACGCGGGAAACGCAACAAAATGGCGGATCATCCGGAGTGGTCATCAGGTAAAGGCTGCAATCAACAATTTTTATATTTGTTCCTATATCGTCGAATATTACTTGAATGATCTGTTACAGACATTCGATCCAGCCATTTGTTAGTAACGAAGGTACACTTCCAAATATTGTATTTAGCACGGATAATTCTACTTTCCATTGCAAAATGCAACTGTATTAAATTGTATTTTATTGTATCCTATTCGTCCATTCAATCAATTTTGACTTTGCTGAAATTGAATTAACACGTGTAGACACGTACGTATTTATTATAAGTGTATACAGTATATATATATATAACATGTTCATTATTCATATTGCAGAGGAGACACATTGTTTTTTCAAACAATTATTTGAATAATTAATACCATGTCAGTAATGTGTAGGAATTAAATGAATTAGATCAATCATGTAATATTTATTAATTGTTATTAATGTTAATATTACTTTCATTACATTTTATCCGTATTATTATTATCTCGAAAACATTTATCTGAAAAGAAGAAAAAAATTAATCTCTGCAATGTATTTCAGAGATCATCGAAGTCGAAGAGGAAATAGAATGTGTGATCGTATCGGGAGACCGATGAAACATTAAATACGAGCAGAGATGTGCGTCGAGTGGATCTCTTTCGTGTTTTCACTTACTTGTCGAGCATTACACTTACACTTGAACCGAAGTATAATTATTGCCGATTTCTTTCACCAATGTAATTCAATCATTAGAGCAAGTTATAATGCACGTGTCATTGTAAATTGAAATAGAGGAACATTAGCTCGTCAGACATGCGCTAGAGGTATGTTTAAAATAATTGTTGTTCTAGCTCAGGATCCACAGGTTTAATACATCACGCGACGTACTTTTCATATTTCACTTGCGTGCGTGATTTAACTTTGGAATTGCGTCGTTGCTCCGGCAACTTTTTTCGAGATATTATGGTTCCCAGATATTGAGAAAATTTCGTAAGTATCTGCCGACTACACGACCTTGTGCCGGGTCGTTGAAATTGAAATTAAATTCAATTCAATTAAACACATCGAAATATATACACAAACGTTTTATCATGTTTTACGCAATAACTTCAGTAGCTCTCGTCTGAATTGGTACTTCAGTAGAACATAAGTACTAAATAAATACTTGGGTTCGTTGGACCCAAGTGCTGTTACGCGAGAATTATAGAGCGAGCGTGTCTGATATACTCTCTTTTTTTTCCTTGTTAAGGCGGACGGGATTATTATATAACTATAGTAAGCAAATAGCACCAGGCAGATTAGCGCGCTCTCTCTCGATCCCTTTTGCAATTAAAAAAAAAAAGAATT